CCACGCAATGGGCTGGCTTGCATTAGATTTCTGCAGAGCTGGCAGCCTTTTTCTGAAAGTCTAACATTACAGGTAACCTGATGACAGGGAGGGTGGGCCACAGGCACGCATCTCAGCCTGCCTTGGGAGCCAAGGGGAGTGAGCTTGAGAGACCAAGACCGATATGCTGGGATCAATGGAACTCTCCCTGGGAACTGGCTGTTCCCCTTTCAAACGCCACCTCCCTAATCTCTCCACTTGCTCAAGTCAAATTCTTCAAAGCTCTGAACTTGACACACTTGACACGAGGCTGGCACGGTTAGGAAAGGCAAAGGAAGAATGTTCTTTATAAATCATGGGTGGAGGCCGAAGGGACCAAATTCATGGACAGTTAACAAGCAGGGTCAGAATGGAGGGATATGCTTAGAACCACAATTCTTTTAATCATGAGGAGAAAACAAAGTTTCTTAATATTTTTTAAGGGCCCACGATATGCTGAACAGTGTGCTGGGCACTAGGTCGGGGTATCTGCCCTACAAGACCTTGAAGTCGATGCCCTGAGAAAGACACACTAGCAAAAGTGATAACATGTCCCCAGGGGAGGGTCATTCCCTCCATCTGAGTGCATAAACCCATGCACAAAAACAACCTGAGGATGTTCATGGTGTCTACACACAGAGAAAACTGTGTGTCATGGATTGTGAAAAAACAGCTCTCAAAACTGGCAAAGGTGTGTGAGGCCAATGACCAAGGCAGGCTGACCTATACTGCGACATTCACAAAGAGGCCTCATCACTAGACTTGAGCACAAAGAGAACACTGGCCCCAGCAGAGGTCCTCACCAGCACTCTCAGTCCTCAAGTAGGTGCCACAGACAGCTTATCTTTCCTCAGCAAGAACTCCCAAAGCATTCCATGTCAGTACAGATGATTCTTTCTCATGGCCATGTTGTATGTGGTTGCATGGATATGCCACAATTTATTGAACTAGTTCCCCACTGGTGACTGATTATGTGGCTGATAGCACTTTGTCACTATAAATTAATATGCTGACTCTACAATAAGTGGGGCCCACTGTTATCCTGTGTTTAACACAAAGAATACAAAAGGGAATCCTCATACGTGAAGAAGCAGATTAAAAATGAGGAATAAATGTCAAAAATTAGCAGGTCCTTAAATCTGGAAAGGGCCCCTCCTTGTCCTGGCAAGGAACACCTGCGTGTGCTTGGGCAGGTTGGGGAAGGCAGCACAGCCAGCCTGCAGAAGTCTGCACTTAGGAGAGCTGTTATCATCTTATGTCATCTATTTATATATTTGGATAGTGGATAGGATCACAGTCCCTTGGGGCTAAAGTATGCATGTAAATAACCCAAAGCATTAAGAAAAAAAAAATAAGTTGATATTTTACTTTTCATTCTTTCAAATTATTACCTGTTGTACAACTGAACCATCAGTAAAACTCGAATAAACTCATGCAATAAAAAGATTCAGATTCAGACTCAATTAAACACTGTGTGCCTATGACTAAGGTGCTAATAGATGTGTTTACATAAAGTAATCCTCATGATAAGAAAGTATTAACATCCTCATTTGTAGACAAGGAAAGTGAGATTTACACAGATGGACTTTTCGGGGAAAGTCTCATTTTCTACTAGTAGGTTTAGGAGTTGAAATCTGCACTTAAGTTACTCACCCTCTCCAAACTACCATTATTTCAACTGTCCTATGGCTGGTGACTCCCAGCTGTCATACCAGCCCAATACTAGCCCAGTACTGCATCATCCTGAATGGTAGGCCCCTATAACTGTATCAATTAAATTACAGACATTAAGACAGTCTGAAACGAAATCCTAAATTAAGTGCTGGTGTGTGTGAAAGAGAGAGAGAGAGAGAGAGCGGAATAGAGGATATGGAAAAAAGGTTGTCATATTTCACTTTATTTTTTTATAAGAAGTTTAAAATAAATACCGTATCATAGAACTGGAAACACACTCACATTTGTTATTTAAAACATAGAAAAAGCAGAAGAAAAAATGCAAACACACTTCAAATAAATTAGTTATATTTTGACACTAATTGTGAGTGTAAAATCAGAAAAAATTAAATGGGAAAACTCGACATGAAAGGATGACAAGTGACAAAATGGCACTTAAAAGATTTTTATTAAAAAATTACCAGAAGACTATGTGGTAGATGTGGCCTCCCCCAATGACAGCTGCTTCTGCTGCTTTCAGGTTGTGGGCAGTCCTAAAATGTAACATTTAATGCTAAAAAACTGCTTTAAAATGCACAGATGCCTAAGAAATGGGTTCTGTATGATATGGCACAAAAAATATCCTCTAGCAGTCGGGCTTCAAGACATAAAAGGACAGCTCTATGCTGCACAAGGCCTGTCTGCACAGGCCCTGTGAACAGGGAGTGAGGGGCCTGGGTTCTTCTGGGTTCTTCTCCTTTCTTGGCTGGTCATTAGCTGTGTGACCTTCACTTCTTGAAATTGTCTGATGTGGAAAACTGGGGATAACAGACTAGATTATGAAGCTCAACTAAGATAAATGTATGAGCAAATACTTATAAAAATGTGAAGTCTTTGTATAAATGTGAGGTTATATGACTCGGCCCAAAAAATTAGATGCAGCTATGTACAAGATACAGGTGCCCATGAATAAGAAATTACATTTTTTTCAGGTGATCTCATGAGCTTCTAAGTTAAGAGTTCAAAGTGCCCAAGAATACAAGAAATACAGCGAGGCCTGAAATGAGCCTGGATGTCCACAAGAAAGAAATTTATAAAAATATAAATACCATGTGATATATAGGTAGTATCCTAATTCTGCAAAAGCCACAGGGTAGACTGCAGATAACTGAACAAAAATCCAAGAAAAGCAAAGCCGGTTAACCAAGGTCACTCAGGAATGATGGATAAAATACTCAGTTAGAACCCAAGTCCTTCTAAAAACTTTCTATGCTGGTTATTAATACTATTATCTCACCTTAGGAAACAGAGTAGGTTTCACCAACCTCATTAGAGGCACAGTTTGAATTCTAGAAAGAAGTGGCTTGGCTAAGGTCATACAGGTGATTGAGACTAGAATCCAGGTTTTCTGGCCCTCAACCAATCCTCTTTTCCCACAGTCACAGTGCCTACCCCTTTATTCAGGGTACTCATACCACTTGTGGCACATGTAAGGAAATTTTACTAACATACTCTACCAAAATATTTTCTTTTTTAACCTACCAGTTAGGTAGAGATCAACCAGTTTTGTGAGACAATTTACTTCTCTTAAAGAGAGGCTTGAGTGAGGATGGTTTAGGATTGTACTAAATCTGAAAATGAACCTGAGATTTCTATATGAGAAAATGATAAGGCAAGGAGGGGAAGAAGGACTGATTTGATGTTGTGTTTACATCAAGTTTCATCCTCGTGGTTCTTAAATGATTGTATTAAAGAAAAAGCAATTATTCATGTAGTAGCCCCAGTATGTTCCTCATCCTTTCAGACAAGCCTGCTCATAGCAGAGTAGAGCCCTAACTGAGTAAACTACACAAGAACTGCTATCCTGGATGATCAGTGATTGTAATGTCCAACTGGTGACCACCATCCTAGGACAGATCAGTGCTCCATTTCTTAAACGGTTATTCTAGTGGTTCTTTAGCAAAATATTACTTGGATCAATCAACCAACTATGTAAGGCCCATAAACTCTACGTTTACTCACCTGCAGCATCCATCTCCAGGATTACAAATATAAAAGAAACTAAAGATTATGACACCATTGATAAGTAACACATGAAGGAGCAATCAAGTTTTAAACTAATAATTACACTTGATGGTTGAAATATGAGCCATGACAGAACCACTTCTCAAACAATGAAAGGAAGGCACTAAAATAAAATTAATCTGTAGACAATTTAGGGGCATCATGATGGGAAATGGTGGATAAAGAATCCAGCAGGAGGAAAACAGAAATCGGAAATAAGCCCAGCTACACAAGATCCTCTATAACTTTGGGAATATCATTTACCTTAACCTCCATGTTCTTCAGATTTTGTCACTAGTAAAACAGGAGCTATAAAACTTATTCTACTACTCCCAAAGTGAGATGAAAATGAGGGAACAGATGTGAAATTATGTTGGAATAAGTGTTATGAGTGCAGATTATTTTATAAACTGTACAACTGTATTAAAGACTATAGTGAACTAGATACTATATATAACATAAAAATGCTTTCCAAAGAAACCCCTTGCAAATGAGCTTTAGTCATGTTACAATGCCTTAAAATATAAATTTTGAAATAAAATAAACATTCTTGTACCTTTTTAATTATTGAAAAAATGTCTTGCTTTCTTAGAAAAATTATATATGAAAAAATTTTTTCAACATTTTACATCAGAATGTCTTTGAACTAACTTAGAGCCCTGCTGTGCATTTTTAGAGGCTTCTTTTTGGGAAAGATGTTTCTAAATTTAATAAATATATACATATCAATAAATTATACTTCATATTATAGAACCTACATGTATCAACATATTCATACTTCCTAAATAGGATTTCATTTTCTTATTTTTGATCACATCATATTTATTATTTTATTCATTTTTTTAAAAATCACACCTTCATGTGACATTTACTTCTTCACAATAATGAGACTTGTAAATACCCCACATTCTGGAGATCGTAAACATATATCCTATGATTACGACACTTCTCATTGGCATAGTGCTTTACGTTTTGCCATAAACTTTCACAAAAGGGCCTCACAACAGTGTGAAGTAGGCGGGAACACACTGGCTCGAATAGCTAGGAGCTGGCCGGCTCACAGGCATTTGGTCCACACACTGGGACTTTACCCACTAACTGGCACTTTCTCTCTCTGGTTCAGTATTAAATACTCAAAGACAAATTTCCCATCATCAAGTATGGAACCTCTCAACTTAGGAGGGCCCAAATCCCTGGGATGTGATGAAGACGATCTTTGTACTTGAAGTCAGACTTAATGGCATGTGTGTGCCTGGTGCTCTTACCGTCCAGGTGGCCGACTTGGCGGTGCTCGACTGCTGGAAGGACACGTCGAAGCTGTGTGGGCCCGGGTAGTCGGTGTTGGAGGGGATAGCGGGTGACGGCGAGAGGGCATCAAAGGTGGAGCTGGGCTGCGCGTAGGGCGAGGGCGCCGTGACACTGTTCTGCGCGTGGTCTGTGTTGTAGGGGCTGGTGGACGAAGAGCCGTTCTGGATCTGCTGGTCCATGCTGTTCAGGAGCCCCAGGTTCGTGTACTGTGGCTGCAAAGACACCCAGAAACCCTGATGTTAGCTATGTAAGCGCAGATCATTGCTCCAAAAAAGCATCATTTGGTGCACCCATTCTGCCGAGATTGACTTCACATCCAAAACACTCCGCATTCAAAGTAAAGCCTCCAATTTGTGATACACAGAGACACTAAGAGAAATCTAACATGTGTGTGTTTTGTTATGACTTTCACAGATCACACAGTTCTTATGTGCTACCTTTGGAGACTGGTTTTCTCAAGAGCATTTCAAAGTACGACACATGCTTATTCATGAACTATGCAAAAAGTGCCCAGAGCTTAGTAACTGCTTAGGAATTCCTTAAAATAAATGAATACTACCTGCTATTCTAATTATATTTTTTGGCTATGGCATCCAAAATGAGAAAAACCACTTGATAATATTCTAGAGGAGATTTAAATATCAAATTGGTGCATATGGGGCAAAATCAGAAGACCGTCAAATTTTCTCTTAATCCTAATTTTAAATTCTGTCCTAGGATACCAATAGTGTCCCCTCCCGCCATGGACTAATTTCCCAAAGACTGGAGGGGCATGGGAGCCAGGTTAGGGACACCTAACTGTACATTTTAAAAGGTAACATGCTAGTGCATCATCCAAACATGGTCTAATGTTTTATCTGCTATTTCATTTTCTTCATGGAAATTCATTCCTTTCTAGAGTAGAAGATGTATAAGAGAAATACCATCTAGTTGTGAATAAAACTCTATGCTTGATATAATTCAGAGAGGTCTATTAGCTCATGTAGTGCCTTCTGTCAGATGCTTTTATACCTTCTATGTGAATAGGCCTGAACACAGAGTAAGCACTCAATAACATGTTCATGGAAAGAACAAATTAACCCATTTAATCTGTAAAACAACTTTACTACATTATTGTAAGAGAGGTCAAGTAGTTTGCCCTAGCATCAGCTAATATGCAGCAGAGTGGGGGTTTTGGAACAAAATCTTCTTGTTCTGAGTTCAGGGCTCTGTCTGTGCCATCACAACCATCAGCCTAATCAGATAAGTCAGCCCAGAGTCATTCCTAAACCTGAGACACACTGGACACATTTCCAGAAGGGGCAAACAGCCTCTGGTACCATTTTCCCTTCGTGAAACCTTCGAACACATGGAAATCTTACTATTTCTTTAAGTTAGTGTGGAGGGGTAGGAATGAAAAGCAAGACGAGGAAGGCAGCCTTGTTGGTGCTTATTTTATGAATTTTATAAATGGGCCTTCAATTGAGATATAACTCAGAGACTCAGATAATGTAAAACTGTGGGGAAGAACAAGTTAAAAAGAAATAGGGGCTTGAAAATTTTTTAAATTTTAAACTTTAAGTTTATTAAAATTATTGGATTAAACTTTATTTTTGTTTTGCACGGGGAGGAGAAATGGACCCTGCCATTCCATTCAGTCCAGAGAGCATCTGTCTAAATGTTAATAGTCGCATGCTCATTCCATCACATCCATGCATTTGCATTCCACTGCTGAATGCCACGTCCCCATTTGTTCTTCAAATAACTATGAATCTCTGTACGCTTATCCCTATGCTGACAAGAGCAGCTGTTTGTCTCGCCTTCTCTCCCCTCTGACTTCTATAGCTCCTATCCTTCACCTATCCTCCATCTTCAGCTTCTCCTCCTGACAGGTGTGGCAAAACTGCAGGTAAAGCAACTTAGAGAAAAAAAAAAAGTAAAACCCGAGGCCCATACAAATGGTCCACGCCCCTGGCTGAACTAAATAAAGTTCTTAGGTATCCAAGCCTGCGGCAACAGCCCAGGGAAGGGGACTGAAAAGATACTATTTGTGTTCAAGTTAAGGGTCAGTATACAAAGCACTCCTGCACGTCCTGTAGGAATCAGATAATGCTTCCAGAGGCACGTGTACAATTAGGAAGGCAGCCGTCCCTGACAAAAAGGACAAAGAAACTCTGAGCACTTTCTCTCTGGCAGTAAAATGCCTGTTGGGCCACCCCTTCCTCCTCCTTGCTACACAGAAGGAACTTCAGCTAATTGTGGGCTTGGATGAGAACAAAGAAACATGGGCTCTTTGAAATTTTTTTTAATGCAATATATATAAAGAGAAAAGTTTTGAGACCAAGCTTTAAAAGCCAGTGAGCAAACATTCTTCAATTCTCTAAGGACTAAAGAAAAAGGGAAATTCCATTTACTGAGAAGTCACAAAGGAGACCCTTAGAATGGCAGTAGAACTGAACGTGTTGGGTGGCACCAAAGAAGCAGGAAAAAATCTATATTCCAAACATCACTAACAGCACTGTGGGTGCCGATGGGTCTACTTTTAAATGCCATGATTTTTCACTTTGTACCATTCTCGTTGAAATTTTGTACTTAGATGCCACGGCACTCTAGCCCAGGCAACAGAGTGAGACTCTGTCTCAAAAAAAGAAAGGAAGAAAAAAGAAATTTTGTACTTAGGAACAACAGTATTTGTTCCCAATGCTAATACCTCAATTAATATAACACAAAATTAGATTTCCTAGGCTTGGCCAAAAATCAGCTTACTATACAAGATAAAGATGGCAAAACACATTTCAATTTAAACTCTTCTCAAACTGTACTTTAAAGAAATATAAGCCAAATAGTATATTCAGTTGTCTTTAAAAAATAAATAAAAGCACCATTAACTTTGAATTAGTCAGCTTAAAATGAACATAAACAAAAACTCACCTACCAAACTAAGAATTGCATGACTGGAAGCTTATTTAGATACTTTCATTTACTAAATATCAGTAAATCATAAGCCTGTCATAGGAAACAGTTCTTTAGAAGTTAATTTTTTAAATATCTAGTTTAAAATAAAGATTCTTATTTGCCTATTTCTTTGAATTGAAGATAGAAGCTCATGTTAATAGCGTACAATTGGAGACTAAAGACAGACCATCATGGCCAATAAGCACAAGCGTTACCCAGGCAGTACTAGCAAAATAATTTGTAGTACTTAGTGCAAAATGCCAATGCAGGACCTTTTGTTCATAGACTTAATAATTTTTAAAATGGTGATAGCAGGGCATTAAACAAAGCATGGTTCCCTTCTGAGAATGGGGCCCTGTGTGACTGCCTGTATAGTTTGTGTGCCCATGAAGCTGGCTCTGTACCAGTTCAATGTGTCTAATATCACTTATTTTCCACCAAAGTGAGGCTGGTGGGGTAAAGGGAAGAGTACTTGTCATTTACTCTTAGTAATTGCATAAACACAGAGGTGAGAAACTTGTGTTTTACTGGGATGCTATTGCAATGCTTATCAACAATGACAGGTAAAAGAGTTTCTGAGATTAGAACACGACACTTTCATATCAGCCATAAAAAGTGGCCTCAGAAGAACACTGTGGATCCCCATACATCCCGTGTTTTTTTTTTTTAAGTAACAAAAGTTATGAGCGTATTTGAAATGAAATAGGTAGTAGGTTCTCCCTTTCTCACCACAAGTATCTTGATCGCAGAATGATGTTAACATACTCTGCAGGCACTCAAACAATGAGTGAATGAAAAATGTTATATATCTGCCATATCATGTCTAAAAAAGGAGCTGGTCTTCTTTTCACAAAATATAAAAGAGCAAAATTGAACACAAATTGTGTGATATCTACTGTTATGTTGATAAAGTAAAATAACTGATTTCCTCTGATTTCAAAAAGATGCTTCATTTCCTATAAAATAACTTCGAAATAGAAGACTCACTGCCTGGACGCTGGAAAATCACCATCTGTAGTTGGACTACATTCAGGTTCATCACAGACTAGCTGATCTGACCACAGAAAGGATGAAGCACACCTTGGTTATAGTAACTTAACATACTCTGTGTAATCACAGAACACCCTAGGAGTGTTCTGAAACATGGAGCTTGTGAGGTAAGTATAGGGATAGACAGGAGAATGGCAAAAATATTTGTTTTCACCATGAATAAAGAAATATAACTACCAATTCCCAAACATAGAGAAAAGCATTTCCTTAAATCCTTTTGCATTCTCATAGCCATCTATAGACTTTGATCTATTTCTTCACTTAACTTCAATTTGAATGCTCAGAATTAAACTAGCCATATAGAAGACTAGATTTTCTCTGACTGGTCTCATGAATACTATCACTGTAGTTTCATTTTGTTTTTCTTTCCTGGATTACATCCTTGTAATGATATTAAACTCTGAATATAATGGGTCTGAATTTTCTTTTCATAAGCTCAACAATGCATCAGTATATATTGCTATAAACAAAGCTCAATATTAAATACCTGGATTTATATTTATTTAAAGTTGATGATGTAATTACTTTCCTATAAAAGAATTTTAACATCAATAAAAGGATTCCAATCAAGTTATTTGACCAGTGCAATAGAAACAGGGACATAAGTATAATTATGTTTCTGAAAATCTCTCTCCAGCAATTTATCTATATAAGAGAAATTTCATAAGTTCTCTTTTTCAGATACTACTGTCTGTAATAGCTAATTTATGACAACATGGCAACAATAACCAACAATATATGGCAAGAAGTTAATAAAAAATGGGACTGGGGAGAGCTTACTGTAGGATATATAATCCTAATTTATTTATCTCAATTCAACTGACCCTTGTTACAAGAAACAATAACTTTTCCAAATTTCTTTTGGAAGAAATTATAATCCATTAGTGACTATTAGATGGGGCTAGGGAATAGAACATTCTTCAGCACGACTAACATTCCTCTATGGATTCTAATAATGCAAAAGACTGAACTTAGACTTGTTGACATGGGGGTTAAGTCTCAATACTGCCACTAATGTGCTGTGTGCCACTGGGAAAGGTTATTGAACAACTTAGACCTAATTTCCTATAAGGCAAAATCTGTGTAAAATTGAGAAGATGGAATCTGATAACCCAATGTAAAAATGGTGCCAATTCTAACATTCTGTTAGTTATGGTTATCCTCATCTTTGAAGTTATTTTAAAACGATGCCCTGAGATTATTCTCAAAATACTTTCATAAAGTAACT